GGGATGCCGGCTGGACACCCGCCGGGGGGAAGACCATGAAGCGAGTGAGATAGTCGGTGTAGCCGCACTGGTTAGCTTGTTGCTGGATGGTCTTGGAAAAGCTGTCATTGAAGGGTAGCACGCCTTTCCACTGCTCGACGAAGGTGGCAACAGGGATGTCGCGGGCCACAGGATCTTTCGAGTAGAGACCATCAAAGATCATCATGCCCGTGACATTGTAGTTGACAGGATCCTTTTTGTCCAACATGGCGCTCGAGATGTAGGGGACATACATTCCGCTGTAGGACGAGCCCGTAATGTAGATCTTGTAGCCCTGCAGGGCGAAGGTGTTGACAAAGTTCTGCCAAAAGCCGAGAAACTGCTGGGCAACGTCGTTCTCATCCCTGGCCGTGGGCGTTCCGAGCGAGAAACCGGAGCCGACGGGCTGATCGACCCAAACCACGTTGGTGAGGTGATGCCATGACCACTTGTTGGCAACGGGCTTGAAGGTCCCGGGAACCCAAAGCATGGGGCCGTTCTCCTGAAGTAGCTCGCCAACCGACGAGCATCCCGGACCGCCCGTCAGCCAGATGAGGATCTCCTTGTTCTCCTGCGCGACGGGGTTTGTCGAGGGGAAGAACCAAAAGAAAAGTTGGTTCTCGGGGTTGTTGTTGTCAATCGGGAGGTTCCCGGCATATGATTCGCCTACATCAAAGTCGACTTCGGGAATCCCGGTGCCGTTGACAGCAAATTCTGGAATTGTCAGTAACCAGCGTCTCTAGCGGAGGACAGTCGACCCACTTGTAGAATTGCTGTTGAGAAAGACGGATTGTCTAACTGTTGTCTGGCGCTTCTCTGCTGTTTCGCGGGTGGAGCGGAATGTATGGGCATCGAGCCTCCGCTTGGTCAATTCGGGATGGAAGTGATTAAAGTTGATTGTCGCCAGGACAGTCGTGGCCGAGGCCAGGAGGGAAAATGCGTGAGTCCAGCGCATGTTTGCAAAATAAGATTAACGAATCGAAGAGAAGATGATATCCCGACTTGCCAGCTCAGCAGTCAATGGCAGCTCCAGAAACAATCTTGATCAACAGAAACTCGATCCAGTTGATGCTGGGGAGACCGCTCCTTTTGTACGCCGAGGAATCCGACCTTCCTCGGCTGGTAGATCAGTCCGATCAGTGGATGGCATTTGGGCCCACGGATTCGCACTTGGCCTACGGAGATCGCTTCGATCTGACAGGGGCCATGATGAACAGCGCGGCCGCTTCCTGCGTCTCACCTGACGAACCCTGCATGGCTTGCACGAGGAGGCGCATCAAGTGCCGGCTGGGAAAAGCAGTTGAGATGACAGGTTCGGATGCCAGGGCCTTGTGCGCGGGATGGAAACGGACGACGAGACACGACGTTGGGCGGTTGATGCGTCCGTGTGTCTTCATGTCGTAACGACACAAGCCAATGGGGTGCTCTGGAATCGACGAAGGATGAAGTCAGATTGCGGTCTGTGTGCGGGCACATTTGCAAGCAGCCTTACGCAGAAAGAATCCTGCAGAGATCTCCGGGTCGCGAGTGTGGCCGGCTCAATCGAACATCAAACATCGGTAGAATTGGGGCCGTGGCTGGAAAGCATCTTATCGTGGAAATCTGAAACCGGCAAACGACGGTTGACGAGATGGGACGAAAAGATACCCCAACCTCCCCAAACATTCCCCTTAATTGGGTAAATTCGTTTCGTTTCAATCCCGCGGCCCCCGCTGTTTTTTACCCACTACCCGTGCCTTGAAAGCTTCTATCTTGGTCTCGCGCCGATCTGAGCTTTGACATGTACTCTACTCAGCCGGAAACAACGAGACCTGATATCGCGGCTTCGAAACAAAACGAGTGCCCCACGGCTTGAACCGCAGCCCAGCCACCTCGACGACATCGGCCTCTCGTCTCTCCGGTCCAACAACAATTTACACAATACTCTGCCCAGAGTTGAGACAATGTCAGGAGCTAGGGGTCAGGAGTTTGGAGTGGCAGAGGGTCTGTGAGACGACAGACTTGGTTAACGACGAGTTTTTGCTTCGGCATGTTGCTCCTGCCACGAGCTTTTGCTTCGGTATGTTGCTCCTGCCGGCATTCGTCAGCCAGAACTTTAGATATGCGCGTTCGTGATACCATTTAGGCTCGAATGTTCGGGTGGAGCATGACGTACTAAATTTCCTAACTGTTCAACCCATACTCGAAGCCGTGCTAGACACCCGCGTAGACATGCTGTTATGGATAGTTACAAAGGCGTGTCACTTGATTGGTCTGCCAGATTTCATGTGTTTGCTTGTTAGCATCATTGTCCAAAGTCACACTGTATGGCGCGTTTTCCTCGTTGACGTTGTTACATGAGAATCACAATAGGACATAATAATACGACTGATCCCGCAGACCTGTACGTGGGACTTCGTATTCGCCAATCAAAATCCCCATGACTCAAAAGGAGATCACTCGTTGCTGTATGCAGGAAGAAGGGGGATCTTCTCTTCCAGCACTCTGCGTGGGGCTACACATGCATACCTAGATATATATAGGTATGTATTCTTGGTCACGACATATCGACAGTCGTTCCAGACTGATTACCTGTATTCAGCTATCCTAGCCGAGAGAAAAGGAAGAGGCTGGCAAGACCAGGGCGGAAGACGTATGCACAGAGCCATACATGCTCCTCGATAAAACTATGCCAAAGGGAACTGGGATGATTATGGGAACTGTTTGCACATGTCAGGACTGTCAAACTCTGCAGCAAGGCCTGCATCTTGCTTTTTACATCCAGCTTACCTCACTCATGTGCATCTCTTCCACCGCCTCTTCTATTCTGGGTGGCACCTGTCCTGCTGCACACCCATATTTTGATCCCGGGCTGTCCCCCCCTCTGTTCTTCATTTTATTGTTGACGACTTCCTCACTTCGCTTGATTCTTGGTCTGTACTATATAAACTGTCCTCCCCCAACAAACAACCAATACGATGCGCTCTCCCGGTTCTGACATGGATGAGGAGAGTTTGTCTCTCACCGCCCGGCTGTAACCGGGGAGTGTCCACGCAGGCGACTGCACAAAGAGCAAACACCGTGAAAGTGAACTCTTGCCCGACTTCATCATGGCTATGGAAGCTCACGAGGCCGCGCTCTTAGCCCTCTTTCGGACCGGCGACAATGAAAGCTTGGCAAGACGGCTGGTAAGAGCATCTTCCCTGTCTGCTCGATATGGATACTGACATTCCGATTCCTTTCCTCTTACAAGGGTACACGAGATCCAGCGCTCTTCGCCGCCATCCACGAGGAGGCACAATCGATGAGAGACCGAGAAATAGCTGTCCGTCTGTCCGTCCTGTACAACCTTGAGGACACCGTCACAAAGCCGCGACGCAGAGACAGGCCGGAAGAGTCATCCTCGTCGGCACACGGATTGAAAGACCAGATATGCGTCTGCTGCAGCGTCGACATCCCCGCAGCTGCCGTCATCGCCGACTGCGGGCACAAATATTGTCTTTCCTGCGTGGAGATCGTAGTACGCAACTCGGTGACGGACGAGGCCTTGTTTCCCTTTCGATGCTGCGGGCAGCCCCTAACGGACGACAGATTACTGTGGGCTCTACCGAACAAGCTCAAAGAGCTGTAACGGGAGAAACGGGTCGAGTTCGCCACGTCGAACCGCGTTTATTGTCACGACCCTAAGTGTGCCGCTTTCATCCCCCCGCAATTTGTTGTGGCGGACGATGCGACCTGCCCCAGGTGCAGACGGAAGACTTGCTCGCTTTGCAAGACGGCGCCGCATGTTGGGACGGATTGTCCGAATGACCCTGCTGGTCAGCAGCTGATGCGCCTTGCTCGGGAGAATAAGTGGCAGCAATGTTATTGTTGCAAGCGCATGGTGGAGTTGGCTTTTGGATGCAGCCATATCAGTGAGTGTCAGCCGATTCATCCGAGAACGATGAGATTCTAACCCAAGTCTTTTTTCCGAACAGCTTGCCGATGCCGTGCCCAGTTCTGCTACCAGTGCGGAGCGAAATGGCGGAGCTGCAAGTGCGAGCACTGGGACGAGGACAGGCTGCTCAACGGCCAGAACCAAGCCGTCCGCCCTGAGCCTGCACGCATTGGTGGACCAGGGTAGGGGGTCAGCATCATTGTGAGGAGTGTCATGACCGGTTGCTTGACTTCATGTTAGAGTGCGACCTGTGCTATCTACAGGTCTGCAGGCACTGGAGATACAATCGGTTGTGATGTTATTGGGAGATTGTTGATGTATCAGTGTTGTATACCTCTAGTTTTTCCGATGTTGCATGATGTTGTTTTGTTCGCTGAGGCGAGCAAAGATGTTGGAGTTAGCTGTTTTATTAGTTGAATGATACTGCTTCGTTGATCTGCCACCTTCCGCTGACAAGCTGCCGGAGTTCATCTGTCAGAAAGATGTAGCATTGACATGTGTTGTGTACCGCGCTGTCTTGTTTCGACTCGAAAGACTGTGGTAATGATGCTTGTTGTGTGGAAGAAGGAGGATGGCCTGTGGCCCTGGCTAAATACAGGCCCTAGTGGTCCGTGCGTATCGCTATCTGGCTAAGGGTGCTCCTTCCAGGTCTAACAGACTCTCTCCCAGATAGTTATCTGATCGCATTCGGGGCTAAGAATCACCTAGAGTCTAGGCGAAGAGTTTGTGCGGCTCCTTGATAGAGCCCAATGCGATACTCTCAAATGTTTTAGATCGGCCCTTGAAGGTTGGAACTTTCAAGTCTAGCTCTACTCCATGAGTCCGTTGACGAATCTGAGCAGGTAAATAGCTCTCCATCGGTCTCGGTATCCGTACATGGTGGATGGTAATGGCCAAGCCGGTGAGCATCTCGCCTGAACAATGTCTGTCCCAGTCTGGGTGACTTACGGCGACTCCCTGCACCCTTGTAAACGACCAACAGTTCAAAATGGAAATAAGGCCTCATCTGAAAAAAGAAGAAAATGTCACGCTGGGTAAGGGGAGAGGTTGTGGGGGCAAAAAATACTGACACCAGTGGGATTCGAACCCACGCCCTTTCGGACCGCCAAATCATGATCTCTAGAAGGAGAACCTGAAGACGGCGCCTTAGACCGCTCGGCCATAGTGCCTATGATTGTTTGTTGATTGGTTCTGTGTTTTTCTCACTTATGACCCACGCAATGAGCCTGATGCCGGCCTTCAGCAGGTATGAGAATAACCCGTTCACTCCACCCCCCTTATCCAATAGGCTTGCTCAGCTACAACGTTGCATGGTCTCTTTGCAATAACTGGAGTACCTAGAACCGAAGAATGCATCGCAATGGCTTGGAATTCGGTAGTCAGTCTTTCGGGGCTGGCTGTGGTTCCTATTTTCCCGCGACGCCTGTCAGCACCTGGCAGCACCTGTTCCAGCTTTGCTTCTCAGCCTTGTAAGTCGAAGCTCGCGGAGCGTTGCCTTTAAGTCTGGCAATCGCATTGAGCTAAAGAGAAGGTCCTGTCAGGCTCAGAGCATGAGGTCATAAAATGATGAGCAATACTGGAAAGGAAACAGGAGTCGTCAAAGAGGAAGACGCTCGTGGCAGCCTGCGACAGGGGAAAACTGAGCGGAGGGGAGCGAACGACGGCCGAGTCTTCTCCTTTTATGGTTAAGCGAAAAGTGTCTGGTGATGGGTAGTATAAAGCTAGTGGTTTGGATAAGCATTAAGCTGCAGCAGTGGTAGTTGGTCGTATATAGAATTCAATCGAGAAAGGAGCACTGCGAGGGCATGTTTGCTCTGGGCTCCAGGAGGATACATCTACCACAGTATATTGAGACGGCGTCGACAGTGTGGATGAGCGCCTTGCAGAGAGTTTTGATGGCCAACAGCAATATTTATGGAACAACAAGACCAAGTCGTGATTGTCGAAGCATCTACCTAGGTGCCTACGCATGTGGTCCTACTGCTAGGTCCAAGTTGATAGGCCCGACGCACAGAAACGAAAGGAACCAAGACGGCAACCAAGAGCAAAAACATGGTACGCTTTCCCTTCCAAGGGTCTCAAACAATCGAAGCAAATTCACATTGACGTTCAGTACCGAGGACAGACGGAAACGAGAGAGACATAAAACCTAGCACCCTTCTGAAAGAGTGACCCTAGTGAAAAAGTGTCCCTAATGAAAAATGAAATCACTTGCCTCCCCCCACAGGTTTCTGAGGCACTGGGACGGGAGCCGGAGCCGTAGCCGGAGCCTTCTTAGTCTGAATTTCAGGTGTCCATGGCTGCGCATCGGTGGGAACAAGGGTGGCGACACTGGCATGGGGCCACACGAGGCTAGCGAACTCCAAGTCGACGACCTGCGAGTACTGGATCTGGGTTCCCACGGCCTTGATCTTGCTTTCAAACGCCAGTCCGCCCTTTGGCGCCGTGATCATGAACTTGGGAGTGGGTGGTTCGTGTGGCGTGTGCTTCAGGGCGGGCATTATCAGAAGCGATTCCCCTTCGCTCATGGTCTGGGGAACGGTGAGTTCGTACTCGACCCTCTCGATCCAGAACCGAGAAGACATTCTCGCGGCTCGAGCATTGGCGGATCCCGATGTGATGAGCCTGGTGTCGACGACGGCTGGAGTTTTGGGCTTCGTGTCGACGGCTGGAGTTTTGGGCTTCGTGTCGACCGCTGGAGTTTTGGGCTTGGGATCATCATTGGGCGTGGGCTGGGGGGCCAATCTGCCGTGCAGGAATGAGATGTTGGTGGTTCCGCCGCCGGTGATGGCCCCCGTAGTGGTAGGGCTCAGATCCGTGAAGACTTCGAAAGTGATGTTCTCCAAGACGTTCAAGCCGCTGACGGCGTTGGCGAGAACGATATTGGGGTTGGTGATGATGTCCCTTGTGATCAACCTGACCTTAGGGTCGGCGTTGTTGAACTTAGTGAGGTCTTCCGGCTCCCTGAATGGATTTTTCCGTTCCAAAGTCAATTCCTCGTCGAAAATAATGCGGTTCTTCGGATTTGCTGGGTCTGCTCCTATGGGAAACGGCAGGGCATTGACAATGAATTTGTTTTGGAAGTCCGGCTTCCCCGCGACACCCCCGAAATCAGTGCCTGTCTTAACGGGGACTGGGCCCTGGGCGTTGATTGTCGTGCCGTGAGGAATGGTACCCATGCGGACGATGCTATCCACGCCGTCGTGTCTCGCCTTGGGAACATAAAGGAACAAACCGGGCTCGAAGTGCAGGCCACTACCAAACGTACTCGAAAGCCTGCTGCCGTCTCCTTTGTCCGTGTTGGTGACATTTTGGACAGTCTGGAGGTAGGCCAGACCAGTGACTGTAATGTCGTCTTGTTTCTCCAAGCCGCGGTTCCTAACCCCACCGAGCGTCGGGCTGAATGTCCATTGCTCCGTCGTGAGCTGCGCAATCAGAGTGTTGTCGCTTTCATTTCCAGGCCGTGGAGCCCAGAGCATGTTGAAGCCGTTACCAGACCAAGCGCCCTTGAAGTGCGAAAGCGGAAATTGGAGTGCAGCTTGGGGGCCACCAGCGGGGCCTCCAGGGCGTTCCAGCTGATTCAACAGTTGAGTTTCACCCAGTCCATGGTTGAACAGGAAGCCCTTGGTGTCAAGGCCGGGAGCCGGGTTGGTAATGTTCAGAGGCGGGATCGTCGCCCCGCTTGCAGTGTTCTGGCCGACACTCACAACCATGTTGAAAACGCGGTGAGTACGAAAAGGAGCAGATGGGTAAAGGCTGGATCAAGGCGAAAGCTGATGAAGGGGCTACAGAGAGGCAGATGGGAGGAAGCACGGTACAGGGTGGACGTCGATAAGTCCTGCGAGTCCCCCAAGAGCCGAAGGTCTTTAAGATATCGGACTGGCGACACACCACGGCTACTATTCAGAAGAGCAAAGCCGTCGACCAGTATCCCTATTGGATATCCCATCCGATAAGCCGTATGCCTCGCCCCCTCGGGCCTTCCGACCATGGAACTCCGTCTCGGCTCATCACAAAAGAAAAACCCAAAGGTGAGAAGGTGTTGTCTGTGGCTAGCTGAAGAATCAACAAAAGATGAGGGGTCGTCTGTGGCTAGCTGAGGCATGGACAAAAGATGAGGGGTTGTCTGGACAGATGTGTGGTTACACGGTTGTATGATTCGTCTGGCCCCGCTTCCATTGCATGTGTATCACAATCCCGCAAGGCTCTGGCCGTGCAGATGCCATCTGCCGTCCCTGGGGCCTGTGACAAATGGTCTAGACAATTGATACTATGGTCTAGACCATTCATCGCCCATGCAGGCGAGCCGCTTGCTTGGCAGGGCTGAGATTTGGGTTGGCTAAGCTTTTGACCAGGCCGACTCCTGCAGGGCCAAGTGGCTAGCTGAAGCAATACCAAATGCGTCCTGCTTTCCTGAGGGATTCCTATCCTGAGGAGATCCGGATCCTTCCCCGCTCGGTGGCGTCCCATCAGAGACGAGCAGAAATGTTCATGATAATCCTGCGCGTTGACGGAAGAGCAGCATGCATGGATTGTGCAATCGCTCTTATCACTCTGTAGTAATTGGTTCACGTTGGTTTCGAAACGGGTATGACTGTGGCTGGCTGAGGGTGGAACAACAGATGTCGGTCCCGGAACGATTACTCCCGCGCGTCCCTTACTCCCCCATCATCAGTCGTGTGGGTGAGGCTAGACCGGAAGTCGTGATGAGGAGGAAACGAGTCCCCGGAGGAAACGAGTCGGGAACCAGTCCTGGGAGGAACCGAGTCCCCTTCTCTTCCCTACCTACCTAGCCAAGGAATCGCTGTGGATTATGTCAACGCCTGTACCCGAATTGCAACCGGCCAGGCTTTGAGCTTGCAAAGTTCCCGCTTATTATAAAGGGCAACTTAGCTTTCACATAGCTGACGGCTGTCTGTCCCCTTTTCCATATCTCTTCATCTCCAACTTCTGCTCGCTTCAATCCTTCAGCACCAGCGTTTCTATCCAAGACCAGCTACCCATTGCGAACCGCTCGAACCATGTCGAAACCAGAGCTGGAGGGCAAATGGGGAAACCCCTTTAACCTCAAAAATGTCGCGGTACATGCAAGCTTGCTGCATACCGGCAAGGTGCTCTACTGGGGCCGACGCGCGGACCCTAGGGCTGATCCCGACATTAGCAATGGAAACCTGGATGAACACGACACCAGTGCTTACCTCTGGGATCCCGCTCAGCCCACGCCGGAGAGCAAGGCTGACCCCCAGCCACAGCCACCCGACGTGGCTCTCAAGGGTACCAATCTCTTCTGCTCTGGCCATGCCTTCCTCCCAGACGGCACGCTCCTCATTGCGGGCGGACACGATGGCGGAGATGGTAAAGGGGCCAAAGCCATCACCACTTACCACCCAGATGACAACCAGTTCCACCTCAGACTCACCACGAAGCTGGGCCGCTGGTATCCCTCGGTCCTCACTCTTCCAGATGGTCGAGCCCTCATTGTGTCGGGCAGCAATTCGGACTTCGTCCCCACCAACATTTCGCAGATTTATCCCGCCGGCAAAGCCGATGTTGCACCCCAGGACGTGCTCGAGGTGACCGACCCCCTCTGGCAGCTATCGTTGGGTAAGGATGGTAAAATCAAGACTGTCATTCCCTTGTATCCGCGACTGCACCTAACCCCGGAGGGCAACGTCATCGCCACAGGGCCGCAAGACCAGTCATGGATTCTCACTATCAAGGACACCAGCGACAAGGGCGGCAAAGATTTACTAATGAACGTCCCGGACGCGCATCGGAAAGACGCCGCGGCTGCCACCGTGGTGGGCAAGTGGTCAGACCCAAACACCCGTCGCCCCAACAGTTACCGTGACTATTGCCCTTCCGTCATGTATGCCCCGGGGAAAATCATGTACATCGGCGGTGGATCCGATGGCGGCGACACTAAGGATGAGGTGGTGAAGAACCCACAAAGAGACGCTCAACCCACCAAGGAGGTCGAGTTCCTTGACCTTAACAAGCCACTTCCCGCGACATGGACCATCGAGGCCAAGACGAACATGAAGAGGCCCCGCAGAATGCACAATGCAACTATCTTACCGGACGGATCTGTTCTCGTCACCGGAGGCACCTCGGGGGCCACGTTCAACAACTTGAAGACGCCAGAGAAAACTCCAGAACTGTTTAGCCC